CTGCTCTTTGTCCGATGTCTTCTTTTTGTCTTGCCCAGCATATTCAGAGCCCCTCTGTTGTGCCTCGACGTGCTCGCTTGATCGTAACCATTGACGTGCCGTTTTGTGTGAGAATTACACGTTTTTTGTTCGCCTCTTTTCCTCCACTTTCCAAGCGAGATACTCCGTTTTGATAAGCGAATGTGTAATGCACGCGATACGTTTAATCGGAAGATATTGGACTTCGGGCGCTTCGGATTTTATGGAAGAGGGATTTTAGAGCGGCTTCGGGGCTTTTTCGATAGCTTCGGTTCAGGGTGATGGCTTTGGGTTTCAGTTAGGTTTCGGTTAGCTGTGGATACGCTTGATTTATTCCCTAATTATTTTACCAAGCTTTGGTAGCGTTTCTGGCGAAAGTTTCGTCGTGAATTACGATCACGTGGAAAAGTATCGCGTTGTATCAAAAAATAATTAGGATATACTATAGAAAATCCTACTATACCAATCTGCGATATTAAATAATAATTATAACGTGGAAATTACAGTAATAGGTATATTTGTACCTACAAATTCTACAAATACCGATTAAAAATAATTAATCAACCTTAACTGCAAGATCGTCAAATTTATATTAAAAAATAATTGGGATATACTACAGAAGATTCTACTATACCAATCTGCGATATTAAATAATAATTATAACGTGGAAATTACAGTAATAGGTATATTTGTACCTACAAATTCTACAAATACCGATTAAAAATAATTAATCAACCTTAACTGCAAGATCGTCAAATTTATATCAAAAAATAATTAGGATATACTATAGAAGATCCTACTATACCAATCTGCGATGTTAAATAATAATTATAACGTGGAAAATACAGTAATATGTATATTTGTACCTACAAATTCTACAAATACTGATTAAAAATAATTAATCAACCTTAACTGCAAGGTCGTCAAATTTATATCCAAAAATAATTGGGATATACTATAGAAGATCCTACTATACCAATCTGCGATATTAAATAATAATTATAACGTGGAAATTACAGTAATATGTATATTTGTACCTACAAATTCTACGAATACTGATTAAAAATAATTAATCAACCTTAACTGCAAGATCGTCAAATTTATATCAAAAAATAATTAGGATATACTATAGAAGATCCTACTATACCAATCTGCGATGTTAAATAATAATTATAACGTGGAAATTACAGTAATAGGTATATTTGTACCTACAAATTCTACAAATACCGATTAAAAATAATTAATCAACCTTAACTGCAAGATCGTCAAATTTATATTAAAAAATAATTGGGATATACTACAGAAGATTCTACTATACCAATCTGCGATGTTAAATAATAATTGTGGCGTGGAAATTACAGTAATGTGTATACTTCTAGCTACAAATTCGAAAAATACTGATTACAAATAATTAATGAACCTTAACTGCAAGATCGTGAAATTTAGCGGAGATTTTTTAATATTCTGCAATTACGAACATTCTTCGTTTCATTATGTGAAAGTAGATTAACCTTTCCATTATGGAGCGCAAATGAACTTTCGCCATATTCGCGAATGATGAATGTTTGAATATGTGTGGAATGAAGATCGAATGGCTGCTTGGCATGAGAGAATTTGTTTCAAGCAAAGTATGTCTCTAGATAAATTCTAAGAATGCATGCTGAATTTAGTAGATACGTTGAATGGTGCAGATGTTTTGGAAGACTAACAATCGAAGAAGTACATCCAAATTTAGATTAACATCGAATAATAAAAGACGTGTAATTAAATTATTTATAAAGTACCCACTTTAGAATTTTAAAAAATACTTTGCACATAGTTCTCACAATTTTTGAATCAAAATTCACTCGTTCATAATACGAGTAAACTTTCTAAATTATTCCATAATTTAGAGAATAATTTTGGGTTGGTGTTTCCATGAAACATAAACCTTTTCAATTATTTCATATTTCTTTAGGATCAATGATGCATTTATGCTGCATATATATCTCTGCATTCGATAAAGGAATGGCTTTTTGATACATCCGAGCTGAGGATTTGTTAAATTCGATACAAAAGAATACTGCTCTGCGTTCCAATTTCAATTGTACCGTACCAGCGAAATTCCACTACGCAGAAACCTGCATAATATGTCGCTGTTTGATACAAAATGCTGAAATTTATGTGCGTTTGATATTGATATTTAAACCTAATTATTTCAATCAGCCTTCGCGTATATGCAGCCTCACGAATATGAGAATATTTCACTAATAACGGTCTGCAAACTTTATTGTCACATCATATATTATAAGGAATTTTCTGCTAAATTTGCTTATAAAGGCAATAAATTACGTCTTGCATTTTATTTTATAAACAACAATTCTCGAAACGAAATATATTAAACTATTTCGCGTGGTTGTTTAAACTGATCCAGATAAAATGAGGATATACATTTATACAGATAATAATATTAAATATTTGGTAAAGCTATATCATAGTTTAATGAGATATCTACCTAAAAAATTATTTCAAGATTTTCAAATGCTAAAAAATACCTTAATCTCCTGCAAGTATTCTACACGATAACCTGATCTACTTGAACTTTTCACATGAAAATTTCAGGTGGTATTAATTCTTAAGTAGAAGAGCATCAGACAACTTCGCCTCTAGAGAACTTCATTAAAGACTTTTACTTCTTGTACAATTTATTCCAAATCAATCTAATAAAGCTACAACGAAATACCGTTTCTAAAAATTAGAGCGACTTATGCTAATGAATTAATAATTACACTCAAAAATATATTATTACTATAAATATTAAAATTATTTCTTGCATACCTGTGAAACATTAAAATAAGCAAAAGGAGTCGCGTGGATATGATATTTAAACACCTGCAATAAAAATTAAATGCCACTCTTAATAACGTAAACAACTTTGCTCAATTCTAGACCAATATTTCCTAACCTTTTACGAGTCGCGACCCTCTGTTATAATAGCTGAATAACTTATGACCACCTCTTCACATTTGCATAAAGAGGAATTTTTAATAGCGTAAAAAAACACATTAAAAATAAATTTTGCAAAATATAATTTTGACCTGATATTTAAATAACCTAATATCACATGTGATTCACTTGCAAGTATCTATTACTATGTTTTCTAAATCATTCTTTCACATTTATTAAAAATCAATGTTAACTATATAATAACAATTTACAGCCTTCATTGAGAATTTCTACAAACAAATTGATAATCAAAGATCTATAAAAATAATACACTAACAAACTATTCACAGATTTAGCAAAAATTCTATTATTCTATAATCTACCCAAAATAGCAGTCTTATAAAGGGAACATTGTCTGTAATTATGAATACGAATTCTAAACACAGATTCGAATGATTAAAAATTCGCCTAGTTTCAATTCAGCCTGGGTCGAATGTGTACAAAGCTTAGCAGGTTTGCCAAGGGATTACAGTGGCTTACTCGCAATCGTTGCTCTGTAATATATCGAATCCGTACTCGCAACACGATCTACGATGTTCGCCAGGCTGGAAGGAATTTCCGAACAAACTTTTGCTGAAAGCGGAATTTTACGCAACAACGGCAGCTATTATCAAGTCTGCGTACGATTAATATTGCAACTGTCGCGGGGATAAAGCTGAAAAATGCAGTACTTCCGACAACTATACGTATTCTTGAGACGCTTGTGGTAAAGATCATAATGGATTTAGCGATGATTGATGATGCGATACAGCCGATGGCAGAAGAGTCCAAATGTCGTGTAACGCGTCGAACGAATACAACACGTAATATTACAAATCGTCATTGATAAGCTGAAAATGTGAAATATAATAATCTATTGTCGTTAATTTGCAAAACATTGCTATTTCCATTTCCATTTTGTAAAAATTATCCTGTAAATTAAATCGTTCGACAATTTTTTAGGTTAGGGTAAAGGTTAATATACGTAAATATAGGTTAACAATTGTCGACGTTTATTTCCTTCCATTTCCCTTCGATCTAAATATTAACCTTCTTCGAAAGGTTTATCTCAATCCTATTTAATATCTAAAATTTCGTATTCAACTCCTAACCACCTAACCACAAATTATGAATATTTCGTGTAAAAAACAATCGTCCTATGAATAAAATTAATCGCTGCAATTCAGACATTGCTTTTATCCATGTCGATTATTCAATGGAAATTTCTGCACTTACTTGGGACTACGTGTACTCGATGAGATTTTTTCTGGATGAAAATTCAATTTCATTATCGTTTCTGCAACTTCCGAACGGCACTACGGTCTTCTTTACACACAGCTAAAGAATGCAAATATTCCTTGATTCGTAAATTATTAAAAATATAAATGTACATTCGACATGAAACTTACAATTACGTTATCCCGTATTCAAAAGTAGTTTCAAGGCTGTGATGTGCCATTCCTATTAAACCTTTCGCAGATGACCTTGTTTATCCCGCAAAATTCCGCACAATAAACGACAAAGAGCCTCCTGTATTGTCACTACGCGATACCGTTAAAGCATTTTTAGTATTCGTAAAATCTTTCCGCACTCCGAACAATGAAAACTAGAATAGTGTCGAGATAAACACGAAGGAAAAAGAGAAAACGATTCAACCACGTGAACATGAAGTATATTACGAAAGAAAATTTGAAACGTTACGTACGTAATAAAAATATCCGACGGTGTAACAACGCGAGGTTACGAAACGTGGCTGCCGTTTTGCCGCGTCACGTGGTACGCTTCCTCACAAACACGTCGAGGCTTCGCACAGACGCGTGGCGAACTCTGCCGGCAAATATCTCATTTACCGGCGCGCATTCTGACACGTTTCGCGGTTACGGGTTTGTAAATATTTTTCTGCTCTACCGGAGCCACGCCTCTCGCAACGACCTGCGACGAAATTAAAATTTATGGTATCCATGGACAAAGTATGCTGACGTTTGTGGAACGTTCCACTCGGATTTAAACAACTTGTATTTATTACAGAGAGCCTGTGTGGACCTCACGAGAAACGTTTGTTGAACGAACTGCTGTCGTCCTACAACACTTTGGAGCGACCCGTTGCCAACGAAAGCGAGCCTCTTCAAGTGAGATTTGGCATCACGTTGCAGCAGATCATAGACGTGGTAAGTTGTCTGCCTGATATTTGTAACATCGTTTATCATTCGTTGCTGACTTCAGCGATTTGCGTTGTAAAAAATGATGCGCAGAAAACCTATGCGCAGAAAAAAATTATTGCGTCATAAAAATTAATAATTGCGTAATAAAAATTAATATTGCGTAATAAAAATTAATATTGCGCAATAAAAATTAATATTGCGTAATAAAAATTAATGCATTGTAAATGTATTAATGTATTAAAATATTGGAAATTTATTAATATTTTAAATTTCTAATTTCTAAATTTTTGTTCTTAAAATTTTTAATTGATAAATGCTCTAAATGTGTTGTCCTGAAATTGGACAAAATGGTCTCTGTTTTGGATATGAGTTTATAATGTTATCATTTTTTACTTATTTTATGCCAATTGCATTTTTATTAAATCATTTAATTGTATATATGTTTGTAATTATTTTTAAGCTATATATAAATAATTAAATTCATCAATTAATAGGTTATTCATAATAAATAATTTTTAAGGAATTAGTTTTTTGCATGTTCACTTTTCATTTTAAAATTAAGATTCCTTTAGTTTAACTAAATTAGTTAGTATTTAGAAGTCAATGCTGTTTCTTACAGTTTATTATCTCTCTGAGCATAAATCTTGTTATAGGTAAGAATATTCAAATGAAGAAGAATTATTAGTATTATTTGCTTGGAACATTTTCTGTCTAAAACTAGTTTAATTTTCAAGTTTATTATGACACATGCTGCAACAAGAAATGATTATCATAGTGTGCAGTTTTTATTCTATAATGTAATCCAATTTGTTTTAATACTAGAAGTGCAATGTGTAACTAAATACATTATACACAGATAATAGTAATTAAAGTAGTACGATGAGAATGAATTGTTAAATATAATTACATTTCTGTCTTGCGAAAGGTTAATATTAATTTTACCAAAAGCAACTATATATTTTGAACAACTAGTTCTGTTGATAAAGAAATATTCCTTTCAACGTACCATCAATATTAGAATATAATGCTACGTATCACTTATTTAGAATTTACTTCAATAGGTAAAAATACTTATTCATTCCATTCTTTCAGTTAGAACTTGAATAACAATTAAATTAAAACATGTATTGAGTTGGCCAAAAGGTAATACTGTTATTTTTAATATAAAACAGTAGTCTTTTTATCGAATAATGCATATATTATATTCTAAATCTAGTAATACTATCTATTAATACTAAATGTAACCAATTAATTATATGTTGCATTTATTATATTCAATAATACTTGCAGCATACAATTAATAGGTTACATTTAGTATTATTAGATAGTATTATTAGATTTAGAATATAATAAATGCATTATTCAATAAAAGGACTACTATTTTATAGTAGATTGTATTAGATATTTGTCCTATACATATTAGATATTATATTAGATGTTTTATATATAAAGTATAGAATGAATAAGTATTAGTATTACACAACATCTTTAATAAATTTGAGACATAGGCTTTGTATTCAAAATCAAAAGAGCATTATCTATTTAAAAAAGTGTAATACTAGTTATTAACCAACCCAATGTTCTGAAAAACTGTAAAAAGAAGTTAAAAATATGAATTTATTCAGAAACCACGGTTCACTTTTGCAGCGTCTTCAGATTCAAATACCTCAAGCAATCGATCACGTTACTTTCAGTTCAAATATCAGCCTTAATAGTCGAATCGATTCGAATCCATCACAGCTGAAACGATCTGGTATACTGGGTTCTTCTAATTTGATCCGCGTGTAATCGCATTTACATTAAGGGAATTACCATTCGGGCATATTTCGCAAGGTTTTCTCCCTTTCTTAAGGAAATCGCATTAGAGAGGATTTACGTCGGAAGCATTTTCGCTTCCATTGGCGGCAAACTGCACAATGGTTACCGGTTCACGTATGCGTGCAAGCTATACGTATGTGTATGCCGCGCATATTCCAATCGATGAAACTTCCCTATGAAAGATTTCCATTATGACCCTCTTCTTTCTTTCGCCATATATGAGAAGTTACCTGAATCGTATATGAATGCCGTCTGTTACCGTTCGATCCGATTTCTTTCTTCGCGCATTCATTGCTCGCTTATTCGCTCTTCGCGTTCTCTCCACGTGCATGCAAATACCAACCACGCTACGGAATAGCCACAATGAAATAACACCGACATTCCAGCAAATAATGGCTCGAAAAAGTGATAAAAGTTTATTCTCGCCAGTGAGGGAACTTTTTTTAAGTATATCGTTCGTGTTTGGAATTAACGAGCTTAGAATACTTGTGTACCGACTCCGTGATTATGCTAACAGATGTGATCGTTATGTAGTAAATGATAGTCATTCGGTCATTCGGAGATACGATTAGGATGAACGAAGAGTGGTTGGAGTAGTCTTATTAGAAATTTTTACAAATTTCATGTCATTTTATACGTGGAAACAGGTTTTTGATTTCGGATAATGAATCATCTTCATAGCTAGGGCGATTGTCAAGTAATTTATGGAAAGAGGATAACGTAAAATAAAAAATTACTTTTATGTTAACTTTCTTTGTTTTCTTTGCGTCATCAATTCAGCTGGCAATAAAGTTTAAATGGGCGGGTATGATGCATACGGCCAAGTTCGTCTTGTTTCTCCTTCTTTCTCTTCTTTCATTTCTTATAAATCACTCTTAGTCGACCTTCATCCTAAATGCATACTGCCATCCATCTTTCAGAATCTCGACGTTAGTAAACGTTTGACTTTTGTAAAAAATTGCATCCTGTTCGCTGTAGATATTAACCAGGATCTTTTTCTTTGCATAAAAGAAGAAGGAAGAAAGGGAACGGTAAATTTCATTTATTTATTACAATCATTAGGTAAAAGAATATTTTATTCCTGCAAGATATTTTACTATTTTACGGTATCTTGATATATTATATTATGACCACACATTTTATTATTAATCACATAACCAGGTATTTTATAAGTATTTTATAAAATTAAAAATATCTCGTGTACAGTCAATTTTGAATTAATTTGAATTTTAATCTATATATCTCAGAAGATAAAAAGTATACAAAAATTCGCGAAGCATTCTTTTATTTCACAACTTGTACCTCGTCAATGCCCCCCATTCCCCCAGTAGGAAATTCGCAATGTGCAAACTTTTTCGTCGAATCTGACCAAAGAACATTACCCAAAATTCTCAGTAAAAATTTTCAATTACGAACTTCTTGTTGCTAAAACTTTCGCAAACGCTTCGAACCTCTGCAATCTCTTTCCATGCCCCTATCACGTCCGCAATTTTCTCTCGGGAGAAAATACAAAATGGCCCCATTCATTTGCACGAATTTACCCGATTGAACACTAGACGATGGTATTACGTGGAGTAAGACGAGGTGAGAGCAGGCCGAGTACAAGGGCCCAATAACGAGGTATCAAATATGCAGTGTCAATGGCCGCATAATGCTTCCGGAGATTACCTGAGGGGAAGATTGCGAAAGTCGTGGCGCAATTTCCGCGGCCTGGCGCATCCTACAAAGCGGCCGTCCACAATCTTTGCGTGAATTTCGAAGATAAGAAGATCCGAGATTAGCTGCGCGAGTTTTTGCGCGTCAAAATATCGGTCTTATCTAAATGAGACCGTGGCTAACGGTTGAGGCACCGTGCTCAGCGAACGACGCAGATTGCATTACGTTCTCCATCTTGGCTACCCTTGCCACGGTCATTTACTTTATGCAGCCCACCATTCGGCCGCCATCTCGCGAAACACCAGCGAATAAGGCGCGCGCTGATAATCGGAAACGTTTGCACGAAGTGCGGAAAATTTGCCACGAAGAAGCGTAATCGTCGCTTTCGAAGCATTCCCATTGCAGTTTTAAAAGCTGCTTGCAGGATTGCTCCCTTGTTCTTTGCATCAGACGTTCGCGAGTATTATGGGGTATTTGTAGCCTTAATACGTTAGTTTATCACGTTCTCTGTAACTTATAGGGATTTTTCTTCTATCATTTCTCGTGTTATTCTTTGACATTTTAATTTCTTGTGTTATGATCTGATCCTATGATAGAAATTTATTCGTTGAAGTTAGTCGGTATTATTTACGTGTGTCAGGGTTAATATAAGACGTTAAGGGTTAATTTGATAATCTCGGTGAATGCTAAAGACCTTCTGACTATCTTTCAGTACCTTTGAGTCCTATTCTCCTCTATCTCTTATTCAGAGAATTCCTTATGTTAGGAGGATTTATTGCTCAGACCAAGTATCGTAAAGCTCACACATAGCAAGCTCATCTTTAACAGTTGACACATCTGCAGAAAATATCTGAAATTTTTCCAAATATTCACTGTCGAGTCCGTCAAAAACCTAAGCAATCTTAAGGTCCGTTTAAAAATCAGGTTATTTATACATATTAAACAATTTCGATTTTTAAAGGTAGAAATGTTAGGCAGACTGGATAAAGATAACACTATCGATCTCTTATACACTTGGCTATCTTCATAGACATTGGCTAATCTCAACTTCTTTTCGCTAATCTGCAGATTTTCGGTATACACCCTAAACAGCTAAACTCGGAACAGCGCCAGGCTGTCTTAGATTTTTGATACGGAACTAATATGATAATGAGGTTGGAAATAACCTTTATTTTATTTTTATTACGAATTTTGTGGGGATTTTATGTACTTAGAATTTTGGTAGCTAGAGAAGTATAACGTTCCTGATGCTTTTATTTTATTAAGCAATGATAGGGGTAAAATATGACGCTGATTTTAATGAATTTCGAGTACTATATATCCTCCTGTGCCTGGCTAATGAATAAATTGTATTACAAAGGGCTGAACTTTCTGCAAATGATGTATTTTGTAGATGAAACTTATTTTAGGGAAAATACGGATTACAAAATAGGGTAGCTATTATTAATTTCAGAAATGACGTAAACAGAGGGGTAAACAGAGGAAGTATGCTGCGAGAATGGGCACACTGAACGTTTTTAAACATCGTTCAT